AATAAACGAGACTTGATCAGAAACCTGTCTTGTCTCCATCTCTCGTGTCCCCTGTCCCTTCTCATCCTCGCTCCCCCTCTAGGGTCTTCGTTGACTTACCCGCGGGCCGGGACAGGATTGAATCCTTAAAGAGTCTTTGTCTTGACTTCTTACTTCTTGCCAGGAAGTGTTTCTGAATTTTTTTCAATTTATTAACTAAGTCTGTTAAGTAAGGACACTGTATGATGACTAGCATTCCTTTTACAATATAGGTGAAAAATTTCCTTTTGGATTGTGTTTGTTGCATTAGAGGTCAGTTGATCTGTGAACTTCATTTCCATTTAGTATGAAAACTTTACTTGTTTTAGATCTTGCTGTTCAGATAAGTTAGCTAGAATTATTCTATAATTTGAGATCTCCCAGGAGAGCTTGGGACTTTTCCAGTGTAATTTGCAGTGTTCCAAATTTCCTTTTCAACTCTCTTAATAACTGCTGTGTTTTTGATAAGATGGGTTTTGATAGTGATGTTTGGTAGCTGGATTAGAGAGGATTGATGAAGAATATCCAATTAGTTCCTTAGCTATAGTGTTTATTATACTAAATAATCTAATTATTGTGCTAGGCACTGCTGAGAAACTAGGGAATGAATGAATGAAATTACGCTGGGTAGAAAAAAATATATAGTTTATTAGAGGGTAATAAATACTACACACACAAAAATAGAGCTGTGCCCTGGGATGCAAAAGAGGGTTGTTGTGATCTTAAGGTTCAATTTTAAAGCAGGTTGTCAAGACTGGTCTCTGAGGAGTCCACAGAGAGCAGAGACTTGAGTCCAGTCTGTACAGGACAGGAGAGGTGTAACAGGAAACAGAAGAGAATGAATAGAGGCACCCAAAGGAGACATGCCATCTGAGGGTTATTGATGAAAGGGGAGCAAAGAAATGGGTGGGGACTCCGTAAGAAGTCAGGCGAGGAGAGGTTTTTTTGGTCTTTTCAGTACTGGGAATTGAAATTGCCTTTGCACTGAACTACACCCCCAGCCATTTTTTATTTTGAGACAGAATCTTGCTAAGTCACTAAATTGCCCAGGTTGGGTTCCATCTTGCAATCCTCCTGCCTCAGCCTTCCAGAGTGCTGGGATTACAGGTATATGCTACCATACCCAACAAAGAGATTTTTTTTTTAATCAAGGAATGATGCAATTCAGGGTACATTTCTGATGTAGAATGAAATAAGGAGAATTGCTAAGTGGTATTATGGAGGAAATGAGAGAGATGGGAAAGGTGGTCCTTAGTTTGGAGATGGAAACAGTATTTTTTCAGGGCTGGGACCAAGACTGAGTCAGTGGGACAGGCCAGGAAGCCATGAATGGGGTCCTGGGGATTGGTAAAGTTATCTTTCAATTGCTTCCATTTGTCAGTAAAGTAAGAGACTCCGTCATTAGCTGAAAGTGAGGAAGGGAAGAAATATTCAAAGAAAAAGGTTTTTTTTAAAAAAATTCTTTGATTGGTACATTTTAGGTATACAATATGTTTGAATTTATCATTGGGTGCTTGTACCTGTACATGATGTATCTTGGTTCTTATTTTTTCCCCCATTACCTGTGCACCCTTCACCCCCTCCACCCTTCCCTATTTACATCGATTTTGTTTCCATTTTTTTTTCTTCTCTCATAATTTTTCCTTTTCCTTTTCT